CTCCGGTTGCTCCTGTTGCTGCTGCTGCTCTTCCTCCCGAGGCTGAAAATGCACCCTCCCGGACAGGGAAACACAGTGGCCCTGAAGGACGGAACAGCGCCAAAATCGAGCCCAAAAAGTCCCTAACGTCCCTTCTGAAACCCTAGAAAAACAATAGTAGTTTTGGACAAGGTTTTATGGTTTTCGACAAATTTTTATACCACTGTTTGTACAATGAGACATACAACCCTCCTGTTTTGGGCAAGGTTGTATGGTTTTCGACCAATTTTTTTTTATTTTTTTAAAATACCACTGTTTGTACAATGAGACATACAAACGTCCCGTTGCTCCTGTTGCTGCTGCTGCTCTTCCTCCCGAGGCTGAAAACGCACCCTCCCGGACAGGGAAACACAGTGGCCCTGAAGGACAGAACAGCGCCAAAATCGAGCCCAAAAAGTCCCTAACGTCCCTTCTGAAACCCTAGAAAAACAATAGTTTTGGACAAGGTTTTATGGTTTTCGACCAATTTTTATATCACTGTTTGTACAATGAGACATACAACCCTCCTGTTGCTCCTGTTGCTGCTGCTGCTCTTCCTCCCGAGGCTGAAAACGCATCCTCCCGGACAGGGAAACACAGTGGCCCTGAAGGACGGAACAGCGCCAAAATCGAGCCCAAAAAGTCCTTAACGTCCCTTCTGAAACCTTAGAAAAACAATAGTTTTGGACAAGGTTGTATGGTTTTCGACCAATTTTTTTTTTTTTTTTTAATACCACTGTTTGTACAATGAGACATACAACGCTCCTGTTGCTCCTGTTGCTGCTGCTGCTCTTCCTCCCCCTCCCGGACAGGCAAACACACTGGCCCTGAAGGACGGAACAGCGCCAAAATCGAGCCTAAAAAGTCCCTAACGTCCCTTCTGAAACCCTAGAAAAACAATAGTTTTGGACAAGGTTTTATGGTTTTCGACCAATTTTTATACCACTGTTTGTACAATGAGACATACAACCCTCCTGTTGCTCCTGTTGCTGCTGCTGCTCTTCCTCCCGAGGCTGAAAACGCATCCTCCCGGACAGGGAAACACAGTGGCCCTGAAGGACGGAACAGCGCCAAAATCGAGCCCAAAAAGTCCCTAACGTCCCTTCTGAAACCCTAGAAAAACAATAGTTTTGGACAAGGTTTTTTGGTTTTCGACCAATTTTTATACCACTGTTTGTACAATGAGACATACAACCCTCCTGTTGCTCCTGTTGCTGCTGCTGCTCTTCCTCCCGAGGCTGAAAATGCACCCTCCCGGACAGGGAAACACAGTGGCCCTGAAGGACGGACAGCGCCAAAATCGAACCCAAAAAGTCCCTAACGTCCCTTCTGAAACCCTAGAAAAACAATAGTAGTTTTGGACAAGGTTTTATGGTTTTCGACCAATTTTTATACCACTGTTTGTACAATGAGACATAGAACCCTCCTGTTGCTCCTGTTCCTGCCGCTGCTCTTCCTCCCGAGGCTGAAAACGCACCCTCCCGGACAGGGAAACACAGTGGCCCTGAAGGACGGAACAACGCCAAAATCGAGCCCAAAAAGTCCCTAACGTCCCTTCTGAAACCCTAGAAAAACAATAGTTTTGAACAAGGTTTTATGGTTTTCGACAAATTTTTATACCATTGTTTGTACAATGAGACATAGAACCCTCCTGTTGCTCCTGTTGCTGCTGCTGCTCTTCCTCCCGAGGCTGAAAACGCACCCTCCCGGACAGGGAAACACAGTGGCCCTGAAGGACGGAACAGCACCAAAATCGAGCCCAAAAAGTCCCTAATGTCCCTTCTGACCCTCCTGTTGCTCCTGTTGCTGCTGCTGCTCTTCCTCCCGAGGCTGAAAACGCACCCTCCCGGACAGGGAAACACAGTGGCCCTGAAGGACGGAACAGCGCCAAAATCGAGCCCAAAAAGTCCCTAACGTCCCTTCTGAAACCCTAGAAAAAAAATATTTTTATACCACGGTTTGTACAATGAGACATACAACCCTCCTGTTGCTCCTGTTGGTGCCGCTGCTCTTACTCCCGAGGCTGAAAACGCACCCTCCCGGACAGGGAAACACAGTGGCCCTGAAGGACGGAACAGCGCCAAAATCGAGCCCAAAAAGTCCCTAACGTCCCTTCTGAAACCCTAGAAAAACACAATTTTTCGAGAGATTCTATCGCCTGAAGGTGTTCGAGATCTCGCACAAAGTTACCATCGAACTTGAACCTCGAGGATGCGGCCTCGAACGAACAGATCAGGGCGGGAAGGGCAACCCAAGGAGCCCCACGTACCTCGAGGAGACTCCGGGAAGAACCCCCCACCGGTAAAACAAAAACCCCGGAGTCAATGAATCGACGTACGTGACCGGTGGGAGGGGGACCCAACAGGGTCCCCCGGCAAAGGGTCATTGTTCCCTTCTGAAACCCTAGAAAAACAATCGTTTTGGACAAGGTTTTATGGTTTTCGACCAATTTTTATACCACTGTTTGTACAATGAGACATACAACCCTCCTTTTGCTCCTGTTGCTGCTGCTGCTCTTCCTCCCGAGGCTGAAAACGCATCCTCCCGGACAGGGAAACACAGTGGCCCTGAAGGACGGAACAGCGCCAAAATCGAGCCCAAAAAGTCCCTAACGTCCCTTCTGAAACCCTAGAAAAACAATAGTTTTGAACAAGGTTTTATGGCTTTCGACCAATTTTTATACCACTGTTTGTACAATGAGACATACAACCCTCCTGTTGCTGCTCCTGCTCCTGTGACTCCTTCTGTTCAAAAGGCACCTGCCGGATGGGAAAACACCATGGCAGTAGTAGTAGTAGTAGTAGTAGTAGTAGTAGTAGTAGTAGTAGTAGTAGTAGTAGTCCGAAACAAGAGTCAAAAGTATTATTCCCTGGCCCGCTCCCCCTTGCGTCTGCCGGGGTCGGCGGATATTGACTGCTGGCTACTGGCTGGGTGCTGCTGTCTTATTCCCTAACGCGCTCCCCCTTGCGCAGCCGGGGTCGGCGGATATATATGTATGAATATGTATGAATATTAGAGAATTGTGTGGAGATTTTGGAACATGGAAGAATATATATTAATATATATATATATGTATGAATATGTATGAATATTAGAGAATTGTGTGGAGATTTTGGAACATGGAACAAATTCACAATTTAGAGGGGTGATGAAGTGGATGATGCCTGTCTGACAGCCTGTTTCGGATGAATCATGCCATTTGCTTCCTTGGAATTTCCGACCCATTTGAAAAGTCAAACATGGGCCAACAACATGTAAATTCATATAAAATCATGTCAAAATTATAAAAGAAAATCATATAAAATAACAAGATATAACAATTGAATCATATTGGATCCTCGTGTCGACCCCAGGTGGGCACAGCCTTCTACCGCCGACCTCCTCGTGATCGAGTCACGCAGCAGGCGTGACATTGGAAGACTCAGATTCGCCTGGCAGATCGTCAGCCGCTGCATGACGCCGACACATTCACTTATCAAATGTTGTAAAAAGATAGTTTTATGATGTTTTATGTATGTTTCATGTATGTTTCATGTAATGTATATATATTTATGTTGTATTGAGCTTATACATGTTTTACTTGTTTTAGTCTATGTGGCATGTACTAGTTGCACTGCAGTGCAATGTTGCACTTTGTTGCATTATGTTGCGCTTTGCATTTTGTCGTACCAGGTGTGTGCGACACCTGCAACTTTATGTCTCAGATTGAAGGCTCAAATGCCACGCGTCAGGTGAAGGATCTCCCTGTCCTTTTGGCTTCTGATCTCGCAAGGCGAGGCCCAGAGTCGCAAACTCACAGCCACATTGACATCATTGACAGCGTATCATCCAATTGGCTCGCACATGCAATTCCCCAAAGCAGTTCGCGGGCAAGGTCCACAGAGACTGGAGATGGTCAGCAGTGGACGGGAGCTTAGCAAGTGGACTTAGCATATCTTAGCCCGGCAACATCCGGCAACCAAAGCTGACCAAAGCTGACGAGATCTGACCACAAATGTGACAGATGTAGGCCAAGATCTGCCTAAGATCTGCCACATTTGCAACATGTGTGATCCAACATCTGCCTACTGACAAGAGCGGCCACATTGAGGTCCCAGTCGGGTTTGGTGAGTGACTTGGCAGCGCAGTCTGGCTTCGACTTTCACGGAATAGTGGGGCTTGCGGAGTTGCATGACAGAGGTCGTGTAGCTGAACCATGCTACAGAGAGTTGCTAAAGTCGTGCCTAGATTAGTGGGAATCGTTGAAAATAGCTTCGGAGCACTTGATTGTAGGTACTTGAAGGTACTTGAAGCACCTGGCAGAATATCCGAATATATCCGAAAGATACAAATCGCCGGCTTTTGGTTTCGCTGAAATCATTTCATGTCGGTGCGCTTGTGACGTCTTGTGACTCAGGACTGGAAGGTCACCTGGTACTGGATGCAGCGGCGCTCACAGGGCCCTTCTCTGATAAGACCTGCGCCTCTCGGTTTGATGTTTGAATGGGCATGGCGGCATGGCGGCATGGCCGTGCCATGGTGCCGGGGAGATGGACGCGTCGAAATGGAAATGGAAAGTGCCAACAGCATTCGCAGTAAGGCCCAAGATTTGCCTAACAAACATGAACAGGGAAACCGGGAAACATCGGGAAACCTGCAAATACTTCCAAGACGTTACAAAAGCCAAATTCACACCACTTGGATAGCACATGATAGCACCTCATGATCTCAATCGACCTTTCAGTTGGTCTCTCTCCATGAACGGTAGCATGTTTTCATGATCCGCAATATGAACATGATTGAACAGGTATTTGATGGTATTTGCATTATTTGCGAGAGATGTTAAGTTAAGGGAAATACACCGCGTACCCGCAAGATCTTCACAAAGTACTGCACCACCTTTGAAAAACTTTGACACAGAGGGCAAAAGCCGAGTACTCGCTCTTTAATCGCACTTTGAACATCTTTGAAGACAAGGTCTTCTACAGCGCCTCAGTCTCTCACCCGCGACACGACGAGATTCGACAGCCTCCAGTGGCCTTCAGCACCAAACAGACCAAGTTTAGCCTGGAATTGCAGGCAGGCTCTGATATGTCTGATTTGGATCCGTTGAAAGTATCTTAAAGCTTGTGATCCCTGTGCCAATTTTGCAAGGTGGTCCAAGCTAGCCATATCTAACCCAATACGCCATCAGTACACTGCTATGAACGCTCTCTCCCAATTCCACAAAGAATCCACAAACACAGTGAACATCTGTGACACACAAATCCCATTTGCAAGTCATCTCAAGTCATTCGTCGTATCATCTCATGAATCATATATATATATGCTCTATATTAATTTGAATTGTAGTATGATTTAGTATGTATTAGTCATATATTTAGTTATTAGGAATTCATAAAGCATGTCGCAATATGTCGGAATATGTTTGAAGCGGCTCCGCCAGGACGCGCCAGGTGTTCGCATTGGAGTCACTGGTGCCTTGCCACAGAGCCATGAGTGAAGAGCGTGCCGTTTTATGCTGTTTGACACCGACAGTGCACATGATCGTTTCATAAGAGACATCTGGACCCCGTGGACATGGCTGAAGAATTTGCAAAGCCAACGTTTTCGCCAAGGAAGTGGTTCTTTAGATTTCTTTAGCGTCCTTGAAATTTCTTAAGACTGTGGCGATTCAGTTGATGCTGTAGGATACAGTGATTCAAAAGCAACATGTCGCAGTCCATGCCTGCAGGAGAAACAAGGAAACAAAAAATCCGAACTGAAAGGATGTTTATCAAGTCACTGTTGCAGTTCAGCACGATTCATGGGCTGTTTATAGAATGGCGTGGAGATCATCGAGCGTTGTCAATTCGGTTTGCCTTCTTGATGTGCTAAGTGCTCAGGGGACGTGTCGCTTTTCAATATGCAGATGCTTGGCCACATCACTGGACAGCACAAATTGGATCGACATGGAAACCTCAGGTTGGTAGGCAGATGCAGTCAGATTCCTTTCGGGAACTTGGGGAACCATGTGGAGCTCTCCCAAACCATGAGGGATTGATTCCATTTGATTCCTGTTTTGCTATTCCACACTGAGCCGGCAATGGATTTGAAGCTGAAAGCTTTCAGGACAGGGCAGGAAGAGTGGCAACACGCTTTCACTGAAGCGCCCAAAAACTGGTGCAGCTTCGTATTGAACAACCTGGTGCCGCCTTTGGGAAGATTGGAGGGGTTGGAAACCGACAAAGATGATCAAAGAATATCAAAGATGCATACTTTGCAGAAGGCCAAGAATATCTTCGAGATTGAAATTGCAGATTATAGATGATCATAGCGAAGATCATTGTCTATTGTTTCAGACATTCAACTTCAGAACATTCTGAAGGGATGCGGTTACTTCAGCCAACCGCTTTGATGTTTTGAAACAAACTGAAGCTCCCTTTTTAAGCAGAGGGATTGCTTTCAAACTAGTGTTTAAAGCGCTGTCTACATGTAGGTCTTGAAATTTTGTGCAAGGGTCATGAGACCGTGCCTTCTTCAATGATTTCGTACCGGGTTCTGCAAATGAGTCCAGTGTGGCCACCGTAAACCAATTCTCATGCAAGGTGTCCTCTACCGATGCCAGCGTTCACTTCAAGCCGCTCGCTGCACCAGCGGGGTCATCAAGGGCTCCACAACGTCGGCCCACGATCCGTGCTAGTAGCTGCTAGTAGGCCCAAGAGCTCACCAATAGGTATCGAATGGCATCGACGTCCCTTAACGGGACGAAGATAGAGATGTCTTGAGAGTCTTGACGTCTTTTGAGCTGTTCCAGGTTTGTCTCCACATAGGGAAAAAAGGTATACAACTTGTACAACTCCAAATGGTCACCATTTCCAAACGGATTCAAAGATATTCAAAGGCCATAAAAACCCTTGGAATCCCTTTACTGTGAATGGTATGGAAGACAAGTCATTCCAAATTCTGGTCAAAGTGGCAATTTCTGGAGCATTTTGTCATGGTTCTGTCATGGAGTATCTGTTTCTAAGTAAAGTTGGTCATCAAATTATTGCAGCGCCTTTATTTGCCTTGCCTTTTACATCCTTGGGCTAATAGTTGCATTCATTGCATTCATATTCCACTCTCACCACATATGTCTAGATTATGGCAGATTGTGGGGAGATCGTGTGCAAATGGAAGGAAATAGACTTCCAGAAAAGGCTCAGAAGAATATGAAGAATATGAAGAATTCAGAAGAGGTCCGAAAGGGTCCGAAAGGGTCCGAAAGGGTCCGAAAGTCTGCCCAGGAAGTGTTTGGACTTGGGCTCTGATGGAGTCATCCTGGACTTTCGAGAGTCAGCACTGCTCCTGGGGAGCCATGTCTCCTGTGTCGGCCAGGTGCGACGGGGCTGGGCGACATGGGATGGTTCCGGGTCCGGTGAACTGGTTTGAACTGGTTTGAATGTGTTGATCTCGTGTTGATCGGTTTTGATCTCTCTTTGGTTTGACAAGAAAATCACAGCCTGCATTTGGCTCTCGTTTTCAAGCTTGCAAGAGTGGACATGGATTGTGCCGCGTGAGAGATAGTTAGTCTTGGCGCTTCTGTGAACGGAATGCAGCAGAGGCTCTCGCAATTTTGTACCCACTAGTGACCTTGAAATGCCAGGTGGTAAAAGATGCAAATGGCAGCCCCCCAGCTCGCAATGAGCAGGATTTCTGGTGCGCGCAGAGTTTCTGCTGTTCAAGATGTTTTCAGCCTTCAAATCCGTATGCACATGGAGATTGTTCCCTTGAGGGGAAGGTTGTGCACAATGATCTTTGGGATGAGTTATTTAGGTGTCCTATTGTTTGCACACCAAAACCTTTCTGCTCCTGCCTTTGACGAAAGAGGAATAAACACACTTCTCCGCCCCTCCCGGTGGCTGGTCATCGCTCTATGTGACTTCCTCGTTGCTGAGGGTGGTCGCTCCGTCCCTGGCAACCTCCAGCTGGACAGAGCAAGCGATGGGGCGTTGCTTGGTTTGCCGAAGCCCTGAGGTCGAGTGAAATGTGCGCAGAGCTGGTCAGAGGGTGAAAGTTTCATGAAGTCTTGGCTGAGAAGACTATGAGGATGAGAATGAGATAGAATGAGTGAGAATGATACTGGATGATATTGGTGCTCTTGGGGAGGGGCTTTGGAATGCCGTTTCAAGAGCTTTTTCCACAGGATCCATTTCAACTGAGGCTGCTGGCGCCATGTGGAGTCGAAAAGATTGCCTTGCAGGTGTTGACAGCTGATGCCGAGTGAAATAATTCTGATCGTCTCTTGCACGTTAGAGATCACAAATAGCGTACCAATATGTATCAATCAGGGCAAGTTTTGCATCATGCACTTACATACAGGTGTCAATATGGTGGCATGCGGCATGCGGCATACTCTTACAATTCTGTGACAAGCAGCGTAGTTCCGAAGTGCTCCTGGTCGCAACAACATTCAATGACATGCAGTGACAGTGAAGGAACAGTTCAATTACGGTAAATTCTCGTTGCAATACAACTTACGAATATGTTTATGAGTGTTCACTTTGTTCACTTCAGTGGGTTCTCCAAATTGCATCCGAAGGTTCGTTGAACATACCCCCAACCACAAATACCCGGCATTACGCAGCAGGCAGCATTCTGATCAGCGACAACCCGGATCTCTATCCCTGAAAAGTTACAGCCAACCACGGTGGAAAACTTGCCGCGTTGTGGGCCTCCCTGTTTCTGGTCATAATTCGTGATCAGATTTGCAGCACTATCATACTCGTACTTGGATCCATATGCAACATGCGTAAGACGTACAGTATACCATAGTATACCCTTTGGCACACTTTCGCCTTGCGGACTTCTTAACACAGCGTGGTCTCGACAAGCTGCATGCCATTTCCTGGGATCTCAATTTTCCTCGGATCTCAAACGCTGAGTCCAAATATGATGGCGATTTATCTTTGAAGAGACAATGTTTGAAGATTTTGAAGTGCTACAGCCACAGCTGCAGAGTAGACCCAGTAAGCTTGGTATCAAGCTTGAAAAAATCAGTCCTTCAATAGACCAAGACGTTGGAAAACCGCCTGAAAGTCGGCAGTTGTTTTCTGCAATACTTAGCCTTTTTGAAAGACACTGCAACACTATGCAACACTATGCAACACTCTAGGGAAAGATGTTACACGAAGTGTAGCACCTGCGAGATGTGTGGTTGGTCCATCATTGCATACCAGGACCGCCAAAATCATTGAGGTTTGACATCACAGTTGGCGTGTTTGCCGAGTCATTAGATGGCATCTCAAATTGGGATCACTTGCCGTCCAACGGATTGTTCTCTTCATAGATTGCTCATTTACACTCCTATTCTTGCTTGCTGAGAAATCGTTCAGTCACCAATATGCTTGACCAATTCCCTGTGCGTGCAAGTGTCTCACAGACAATGTTTCAAATTGTTTCAAGCTGACATTGGCCTACCATGACCTACCTGGGTGGTTCCTCATCAAAACACCCAATGAAACACGTTTAGGTGAGACAGGTTCGTCAAGGGTTCCCGTGGATTTGGCCTGATTTGGCCTTCAGTTTGTGCAGGATGCAAGAAGAGGACAACAATCTCTGCACCTACTTTGAGCCTTTGGCTTTTAGTGCGATGCAAAGATGTGGCTAAAGGATGCTAAAGGTAAAATATAAGGCAAACAGATCCACAACTGCAACTGCCTTGTTGATCTTGTTAATCTTGTTGTTAATAGCAGACCGCATTTTCCACATGACAAATCCGAGGAAGCCAAATACTGCGAGGGCCACTTCTTCGAAAGAGGCGACTATGCCCCTTGGCAGAAGTTGTTTGTGATCAGCTGGGCAGAGCAGAGACATCTCAGTGTCTTGACATACATGTAGCTGCAATCAGCTGCAATCAGCTGCAATCAGCTGCAATGAACAACAGACTCACAGACTCTGACAGACTCTGACAGACTCTGGCAAGTTCTGATATTTCTGATTCCGAGGGAGATCATCTCCCGGGGGAGGGTGGGTTGAGTTGGTTGTTCAAGATCCGGGAGGGACGAGTCCAGACTTCTATGATGTATCAGAGGGCAGAAATTGAACCGGATCTTTGGATTTTTAAGGCGTCCAGTACCAAAGAGTGGCCATGGACGGGTTCATTTCATCTGAGGAGTTTCTGCCGGAGGAGTGGTGTTGGCATCACAAGCGGACCAAGATAAAGGCAGCAGATGCAACTTCAGCCAGACTTCATGCAAATTAACGCACATGGTCTGAGTTTGAATCACTTGATCACCTGGCACCTTACCCAAGCAGTGCAAGATAGTGGAAGTGCAGCTTAGATGCGTAGATTTGCTTAGCTGCGCAATGCTGCGCAGGTTTGGGCTGATGCCATTGACTTATCCTTGGGTCGTGGCGGGGGCGCCTCCCGACCCCGACGTGTGGTCTTCCACTACACGGATGAACCGTGTCGACAAATCGCTTTCATAGGCTTTCCGTCAAGATAATGTTTTTCAGGTTCAATCTGTGTTTGAACTCTTGATAACGCTTGCCCATGCTTGCCATTTTGAGAGAATTAAATGAGCTGGGGAATCCATCAGTCCTAGCGGATCGTTTTGCGATGAGCGCAAATGGGTCAAAGGAGTGATCCAAATCGGAATGAGATGATTTAAGGTTATTTAAGTATATTTAAGTTGGAACCACTACAACAGAACACAGTGGAAGAACAATATCTTCACAGACTCTGAGTGTCACTGAGCAAGTAGTATCATTTGAAATCAGTCACAAAACAGAGAAGAAGAATAAAAACAATGCGAGGATGGTTTACAGGTATGTCAACGGCGAAACAACCGCTCAAGATTGCATTCCACGGTGAACGTACGGAAAACTATGATGCGGAACATTACTGCACGATTGAGGAGTCAAGAATTGACACGGAATTGCTGCTTCCAGATTGAAATGAGGTGTTTTGACCTTGTGAGTTCATCATGATGTGGTTCAGCGAAGTGCAGATGGATATCTCTGACGAGTCACAAATGAAAGAACATGAAAGAACATTGTCCTGTCCTCTACATGTATTGTCCTCCTTTGGCCTTGGTCTTTGTGCAAACTTCAGACATTCCACTGATCATCTCTGATCATCACTGATCTCTTTGTCGTCTTTGTCGTCTTTGCCGTCTTTGTCGTCTTTGTCTTTGCTCGGCTCGGCGCAGCATGGTGGGTACACTCTCTGACTCACCAAGGAATTGGCCTTCCGCCGCATCGTGGAGTCGGAAGTGGCTGCAGAAATCTGGGCCTCTCGGCCGCATGTCGAATGTCGCCGCACACGGAAGAATGCTACAGCAAATTACAGCAATGTGCAACAGGCTGGCGGTGAGCGGTTTTCAACTTCATAGCATATGCCGTGCATTGCGGTGCTAGTTGGATACGGTGCAAGATCCGACAGTGTTAGAAGATGTTTGAAGGGAAATCGAAATATGTTGAACTGCGTGTTCCCATGGAATCCCATGGAAGGTTTGCTGTTTGCATCCATTTGCCAGTTGTCATGAACCCTTTAACAACTCAGGCCTCGTTGGTTCAGAGCGGTGGTGCCCAAGGTGCAACCTTGATCGTACTGAAGCCAAAGGATACAATGACGAACAGTAAATTGCAGATTGTTTCAACATGTTTCAACATGTTTCAACATGTTTCAACATGTTTCAGATTCAAAAGAGTTCGACTGCTTTTTGAGCTTGTGATGTTTGCTTTCGAATGTTACATATATGTTTGCTTTCTTGTCACATCTTGTCACATCTTGTCACATCTGGTCACATCTGGTCACACTTTTCGTGACCCTGACTCAGCCGACTCAGCCGACTCAGCCTGACATAGTTGGAGCATGGAGCACTTCATAGCTGGTCACCCATGGTCCAGGCATCTACACCGTTCCAAAACCACCGGACGAGTGGCAGGAGATGTTATCTGCCACCAGGTTGTTGGAATTGAATGGAATTGATATGAATTGATAATTGATATTAGTTGATGAGCGATTGGCATTTGCTATTTCGACACGCACTTGTCTCTTTGATGTTTCTGGCAATCACCATCAACCGCCCAAGTCTCATGATTCAGACTCACACACACTTGGTATTGGCTGATGGATGCTGATGGGTTCATCGATTCCACGATTTTTTTTTAAAACAGTGATATTGAAAAAACATTGATATTCCATGTCCTCCCTGACTTTACCAGGACAAGGAGGAATTGCTGGAGAACAACTACCGGCAAATGATGAAGCGGGATCGAGAAGATCCCGAGAAGGGAGACGACTACGTGTCCAAGGCACTGGAACCGACGGACTCGAGACAAAGATGAAACTTTGAAACCAGCGGAACTGACGGAACCATCGGAACCATCGGAAACGCAGAGACCAAGCACATGCAAACTGAGAATAACTGAGATACAAAATGAGACAAAGAATGACAAAGATAGATGATAGATATATTTTTTCGCAGTATCTAATGTTCCTTTTTGGAATGGATGGGCTTTCAATGTAGTGGTGCAAAAGGCTAATGTAGTTCGAAGGAAACGCAAATTTTGCAGAGTGGTCAGAGTCCTTCTGATGCTTACATGGTGGATTCAGTTTATATTGGACATCATTGGACTGCATGAGAATTCTCATGTGTAGGTCTAGAGTCTAGATGGAGTCCAGCAAAGACAGTGCGAGGTGTAAAAGCTATGGTTTTGGACTTTTTTGGACGGCAGAGCTGTATCAATAGAATCAATAGGGCTATCCGGCCCAACTAAGAAGGCTCAGTGGTGAGGTCAGCTTCAGAAGCGTTCAATTGTTGAGTTTGTCGTATTTTGTCGTCAGGTCTATCCACTGAAAGTGGCGTATTGCATTCCGATCCTTTTGTCGGCCAAAGCGCACGACCTGCATCTCGGCTTGGCAAATTCCAATTTTTTAAGCTGTTCGCTTGATGTTTTTTGATGTTCAACATTCACTGAGTCCGCATTCGCCTTTAGCTTATCATGCTTGTCGTCCTTGTTGCACTCTCAACAGTCTGTGTGCCGAAAAAAACAACTTTGGATGTGCGTCGATGACCTGCTAGTTTTGTTCGCTTTTGAAAGTTTGAGAGAACATCAAAAGGGTACAAAAGGTGGAATGTGATTCCAGGGCATCCCTTGCCCAAAGCAATCCTTGAATCATTGAATCAGCCTTTTCTGTTTGAATCTGTTCACGCAACAAGCATAGACTCTGGAGTTGGGACATGGCTGTACAATGCACACGTATTCTGCTCGCTTTGCGCTCCACAAGTTGAAATCAAAAGACACACTGTGACAAATCTGTGACAAATCTGGGACATACTTGCAGACGGTCTTGGCTATCAGTCCACGGGACAGACGCCAGGTGCAAAGAACCTCCAGAGCCAAAGGCCTTTAAATTTGGGTTGGAAATGAAGCCATGGTGCAGACAATCGAAATCAATCAAAGATAAAGTCAGATTCTAAGAAGGAAAGAGGACTTTCAAAGGTGTGACTTGTTGTTTTTGCCGTTTGTTGCCGCTTTGGTAGCCCTTTTGCAAGCTGTAGCCTTAGCTCTGGATTATACTTCATTAAATTGCATTATCAGATTAATTGCCACACTAACTTAAGTTTCATGCCTTGTCAACATATCAACCTACGATAACCTACGGTTGCACCATTTGTTTTTTGTTAAATCATGTCATGCCTAACA